GCTGCCTCTGGGCTGGCGGGGTTGCTGCTCAGCACCGGGCAGTGCTCCTCTCGCCCCGGTACCCGAGTTTCTCCTGTTCTTCTCTTCCCCACGCAGAGGGTCCCTTAGTGTGACAGGCTGCTGCTCTCCCTTCAGAGGTGCTTGTGTGTCAGTGCCACAAGCGTGTGTGCTGGTGACGTCCTTCTGTAATAGTTGTTGTGGAGAATACTGTACGTCGTGTGGCCAAGTATCGCTTTATACTTTGTTAGGCAAAATGTTACTTGCCTGCTACTGCTCGTTACTGGTTTAGCTGGTGGTGTCAGACTTGGAAATTTGCTCTTAAATGGTCAGCAGAGAAGAAACCAGAATTACCAAATTAGAGTATTTTAACTGGTTAAGATATACCTTCAGATAACCTATTCATAGAATGCAGTGCTTGTTTTCATACAAAAATTTCTTTATAGGGTTTTCGTTTGATACATATGAATAAAATATACAGCTGAATATCTTCTTTATAATGTTTATTTACAGGACAGATAATTTCTTACTTTTCTCGGTAGAGCTTTATGTTTGTTACCTTGATGTAAGGGTTTTCTCATTCTAATGTTGGATTTTGTTGAACAGTGAAGGCCACAGGTAGCTCAGGTGTAACTGACTTATTTCAGGCTGCTTCTGTTTTACAATGTTGTTCTGAAAGTGTCAATCTGTTGTCTGTCTTCTGATATTTACTTGTAGATGGGGAAGCCATAGGAAGTTTGTATCATGGCAGCGGATGAGGATGGACTGGGGCTGTTTGATACCCACTATGGCGGTAAGATACTTTGTGTTCTGTTTTGCAGTGAAATAACATGTGCAGTCTTATGAAAATAAATAAGCCCCCAAATAACGTGGAAAACAAAATGGAAACAATTGAAGCTGGGACAAATACTGATGAGCTTTAACTGTAATTAAATGTCTGCAGCACAGTCTTATAGTAAGCCATATCCCATTAGTAAGTTTGGATTTTAAAACATAACTCTGTGGTTTGGATTTCTAGTATGGTTTCAGGGGATGTCTGAAGCTGGTTTCTCCCCTATATTTTACAGTGTATAACCTTCGCTGTCTGTTGGTGAAGTGTGTATTTGGACGGTTCAGAGGATTGTTCCTTTGCTATGTGTAAAAGCAAATGGGATGTCATCTGGTATAGGACCAGCAACCAAGGTACTCTAACTTGAGTACCAACTCTGCAGTTGATTGCTCTGACGTGTTGATGAGATTCCCAGCCTCATAAGGGCTGTGGATATTAATACTGTTCTTAGTAGAGATTCACACAGAGGAAACAAGAGTGATAAGAGACATTGGAAAAAGACATCAAGAGAGACTGAGGAAATTAGGTTAAAATATGTTTACAGAACCAGTTAGTCAGGGAATAGACAGCAGTACTAAAGCAAATTCTTTGAATTACAGTACAGACTGTTACAATACTTCCTGTTTAGTGAGAAAGGTTTCTTTTAGCAATAGTGGCTTTATCATACTAATTCTTTTATTTTTGTTTCAGAGTTGTATAACTTTTGTATTCAGTGTGTTCTAGAAAACAGTTTGAAATCCAGATCAAGTTGACTTAGTTAATAACCTTAAAATTTATTTGTACTTAAAAGACATAATTTGCTTTATGCAGAGTTCCTGTATTTAGGAATTGATTGTACAAGACTGTCTTTGCTCCCTGGTGACTAAAGGTCTGTTCTCCAAAGTAGCAGTAGCTTCCCAGCTAAAATTCCCCTGTGGTTTACTAGTCAGTGCTACTACTTTTACTACTCTCTACTCTTCTAGGATCACAGCTATACTTGGTTCATGGGAGAATTGGAGGTTTGAGTTTACTCAATGTTTACTTTGGCCTGTTTTTGGTTTTTTTGCTTTAGCTGAAGCTTCCCCCTTCAAGGAAGGTGATGAGAGCTCAGTTGATATTTATGATGGCTTGGACAACAGTTTGACAGTTCCTGGTAGGTCGATTGTATCTTGCTGCTTGGCTTAGAGCGTTATAGTCTCTGTGGTTCTTAGGCTGGTTTCAAGGAAAACAACAGTTAGCTTAAAGATTACGTTTAACTGCTGCACCATGCTTCAGTAAGTTACTTTTTTAAATTCAAGACATATAGGTTGCAATTTGTATAAATACAACATGTACAGCAAATCTATTAGCTGAATGAGTATAAGATGGTTTTCATGTGATACTGGCTGTTTTAAGAGACTTAGGCATGTAAAGGGGTGCAGAGGAACCTTAGCTATTCTATGTGTGCCTTGATAAAGGACATTTTACCTTGAAAAAAGTACTTTTATTTTGTGTTTTTTAAATAGCTTCAGGATCAGAACCAGTAGTCGCTGATCACTAAATCTCCAGTGAGCACTCCAGAAAATACTTTCCATATGATACAGTCCATTCAGTAGATCCTTCTAACCTGTTCTTACTTTCTCAATAATTTCATATGCTAATGTAAATTCATTTCCTCTTTTAACTTCTTTGAAGGTAAGGAAGAAATGGACCCAGCACATGTTCTTTTTTAGGAATCTCACTGTACCGTTTAATGAAATGCTGTTTCTAATATTTAAACAAGTGTTTCTCTATTGACTGTACTGCTGTAAGGCCACTGATTTTTTTTATGGAAGTATTATACTATATCCTACAGACATGAAGCATCTATATATCTTATTCTCACTTAACATTTTGTATTTGTTACAGTATATAACAAAATACAAAACCATTTTTGAATAAGAGTATTCTCTGAGTCACTGTTTCACATGCTGAGATGCATTGTTCAGTAAATGTTATTCCGCTTTGCATTTTTTACAGTGAAAATATTTTATAATGTCTAGTTCTGAGGGATCTTGGTTTTTTGTGGGTTTTTTTTTTTTTTGAGAAGAGGGTTGGTAAGATTTTTGCTCTATGCAGATAAGATGTTACTTGCATGTTATCTTGCATTGTTTTAATAATGGTCTTTGCATTATGGTATTGTTCAGAGGATTGAATCACAGTTTTGATAGCTAACTTCATTTATTTGTTTGGAAATTAATCTGTATTTCAGAGGTGTCATAAGTCAGGTCCTGTCAGTAATGCATGTTTGGTGAACAGAGCACAGAGGTTGATTTGAGGAAAAGCACTCTTATCTAAATAGTTGGGCTGTTTGGGTGTCAGGCTAGTTTTTGGTTTCGTTTATTTTGGTTAGGTTTTTTTTTTTTTCTTCTTTGATTTCTTTGAACTAAAAGTAGGGAATTTACATTTGTGAGGGAATAAAAAGCTGCAGAGAACACCTACTCAACATAAAGAGCATGGTATTCAACCTCATACCAGCTCTACAGTAACTCTGTTTGATTCTGATCAACTGATCCGTGTTTGTCAATCCATGTGGGTCATTGGCATCTGAGTATTCTTTTTTCTCAATAATTTTTTTCAAATGCAAATGTTTACAAGGTAAAGCCTGCCTAAAAGCTGAATGAACTGTAGGGTGCACATATTTATCCTAGCTTTCTGCTATGTGTTGGCTTTGCATTGCAGAACCTCAAATCACTGCTAAGGTGTAGCCCTTTCTTTGTAAATTAGGTAGATGCACTATGAACTAGCTCTCCTTTGACTTAAAACACATTAGACAGTCATAAAATGCATCCGTCTTTGTTGCTGGGTGTCCTGCGTATCTCTTAATTTTTCCAACAGTATGTTTTCAGTTGAACTTTAATTTTCATTGTTAGCTTTTATATAGAAATAAATTGGATCAAGTATTTCCAATAAAACTATATAAATGTTAAAATTCAAGATAGAAATGTCTTCAGATAGGTTGTATTGTGTCACTGAGGAAAACACATGAACTTTTTTCTTATGTAGCTGATTTTCTTTCTACAGACAATTCTGCACCAAATTCTACACCAGCTGGAAACAGCTTAAATTTATTTGATGAGATATTAATTGAAGAAGGGACTGCAAAGGAAGCATCCTACAATGAGGTGTGTCTTAATGTGACAAAAACAATTCTGGTATTTTGGAGGTTTCTTGTGTAAAGTGCCAAAAATGTTGTCAGTATGTTCGCTCTGTTGGAAAAACAGGGAAACTGTTTTTAAATTAGTAAACCCAAGGGTATGCTAATAAGCTGTTACGTCCACAAGTTTATCAGAATAAGTGGATCTCTCACTCTGTGACACATTCTGTTCTCATTTCAGAGTCCTTGGCATGTGGTTCATGTACCAGCTACCCTATGGGAAAATGTACCTTAATTTCCTTCTAGTTAAATATCTGTCAGACATCTGATACAAAACTAATCTTGAAATTTCTCCCAACAAATCTTACCAGACTCAAGTAGATAGGTCATGGATTAATCTTATCTGTCATTAAATCTTGTGTTTGAGAACGAAGACAACCATGCACTAGATAACTATTTCTAGCAAATCAGCACAACACTTACTCATGTAGCACCCCCTGTCCTGGTCCATAAGACACATCTCAGCTAACCTGAGCTTTGGAGTAAAAGGGGCAGACATCCACAGATACAATGCTCTATAGAATAAGCAGGAGCAAAACCTCCCAGAATCTATTAAGTGGTTAAACTGTCACCTTAAAGGTTTGAAAGCATCTGTCTGCTAAGTATGACAATAGGTAACTTATGAGTGAAAGTTTTCTTGCCATCTGCTTTGAAGGGCTCATGCCAAATGTGTTTCATTTAATGTTGTGATCTCAACAGGAGCGTGTCCTTTGCAGTCTGGAGATTTTTTTCAGTTCAGTTTTGCTTGTAGTAACTTTTTGGTGTGGTTTTTCCTTATGTGTTTATATAAAATCTGACCACCAGGTCCCCATCTGTAGGGCTCTTAAAACTCCTGCTCCTCGATAATCATGTCTTTAATTTCACAATAATACGGCTTCCTGTTACTCTCTAGCCTATTACTGTTGGGCAAGCACACATACATTTCCTCTGATCTGAATGTTCGTGACGTTTTAGAGATTTGTATAACTTTTGGAGTGTATCAAAGCTTCTTCTTTTAATATGTGTTTAATATGCTACTTTTGGAAAAAAGAAAAAGCACCACCAAGCAAAAAAACAGAGCTTTGTAATATACGTTACTGTGTTAACTTACTAAATCTTGATGAGTATCTTTTCTGTGTAATTAAGTCCACTTCTGTGCTCTGAATTCTTCTCTCTTTTTAACAGCTGCAGGTAGAATATGGAAAATGTCAGCAGCAAATTAAAGAGCTGATGAAGAAATTTAAGGAAATACAGGCACAGGTACAGGTTCAAAGAGCAACATTGTCAAGATTTATGTAAGGCAAACTGAATATTGCTTTGAGAGTTAGTTTCATATGCTTTCCAGAATTGATCCATCGCATGCGTAATTTGTAAAGCACCTCTCTGTAGGTGCTAAGAGCTTGTTCTGCCTGGGATAGTTGCTAAGTTAGTCTACTGACAAAATCGGTAGGTAAATACACTTGTTTCATGATGTTGCATGCAGTAAGGCTTTAGTTCCTTAAAAGCTATCTTCTATCTCCTTAATTAGAAAATAAGCATGTCAAATGAATAGTTATCAGAAAGGTATCCAGTTCTCTTGTTTGTTTGTTTTTTAAAGTAGGCCTTTAATGCACTAGGGAGAGGGTTGCAAAGGTACCTGAGCAATTAGAAAGCAAAAGGTACTTGAGTTACTAGAACTGAAAGAGCATGCCTGTGTTGCTTTAAGCATAGTGCCCTTCTGATAAGGCTGAACTGCTCTTTAACTTGAGCTAGTATCCCCATGCTGTGCCATTCTGTATAGGTAGATTATCCTGGGCAATTGTGCAATGTGATTTACTGTGTATTACAGATGAGTCCCAAAGGTTCTGTGCTTTGCAGTGGGAAGCAGCTTCTGCCCTGTGCCACTTCTGTATTGTTTTCTGCAAAACTTGTCTGCCTTTCTGAGCAGGCTTTGCTGAGGACAATTATTAAAAGAAGGGGTGATCTCTAGGATTAACAGGTAGGGTTCTAGAACATCATATCTGGAAATTTAAGAATTATAGAGCACCCAAAGTTGGTCTTGATACCTAGAAATACAGTTACCCTCTTTCTCTGAAAGTGCTTAAAAGCTATGTCTCTCATTTGACACACTGACCATAAAAGCAATAAAGTGATTAAAAGAATGATGCAAAGGGGAAGATTATAATTATTTTTTTTTAGCTGTATGGTTATTTGGTTTATGGCATATTTCCATTTCAAGAAATTGTATGCTTAAAACATCTTAAGTAATTGCTAGGAACACAAACAGAAGCATAAACTAATAAATAATTCTGTCTTAATTCTGACTTCTCCAGAACAGTTTCTGTAAGTTCTATTGTCAGTTGGCATATGGTGGGACTTTTTCTAATGGTTGTCTTGCACTGGTTTTCACTACATGTTTGGATACCCAAGCTAATTCTTGTTTTGTCTTGTTTTTTTTTCTTTCCTCTCTCTCTCTCTCTCTCTCGTGTCTCTCTTGCTCTTTTTTTTGTTTGTTTATATTTAAAATAGAATGTCATTCTACAGAATGAAAATCAAGCTCTCAAAAAGAATATTTCAGCACTTATAAAAACAGCAAGAGTGGAAATTAATCGTAAGGATGAAGAAATTAATAATCTCTATCAAAGGTACTACTAGACAGTGGAACTGAAAAAGTGCTTCTTTTTTCTGATAATGTCTATATGCTTGTAGGAAACCTTTGTGTGTATTTTAAGTAAACCTTACGAAAAAAGTTACATAGTAAATAATTATGTGGTTTAGTACTGGTACAGTCAGAGGAAATAGGTAACTGTCTTCCTTGCTTGATGAGGTCTTTTGGTTTCTAGTGAAGAAAACATGGAGGAATCCAAAGGGTGACCATTTGCCCGAATTCCTTTTTGTTTTGTTTAGTCAACCGTTTCTGGTGGGTTATCTAACCATCTTGCATGTTTCAAAGCATTAATCTTACACAGTTCAGCTTCAGAACTAGTCTGTTTTATGGTCTCAGACATGAATTCCATGGAACTTTTCAGACAACAAATTAAATAAATAAAAGATACTGTATAATTGTTTTCATGGCAAGAGATAAAAGCCCTGCCTCCAATAGTGGGGGACAGCAGCTAGAGAATTCTTGGTAATTTCTGTGCACTACTAATCTTACTGCAAGGCATTGAAAATATGAAACTATGGATGTGAGAGTAGCTGAGTGTAAGGTTTCTGAGCCATTTCAAACCAGAGCAGGGGCCCAAGATTCAGGACCCCTACTTGTCACAAGGTCACCTGCTTGTCACTTTTGTGACATCAGCCACCTAATTGGTTTGTTTGTGTTTCAATTTGACCATTTGATATTTTCGTGCACCGAAAAGTGTCATAAAGCAAGTTCTTCTGACATTCTGTGCTTAAGTATATATGCACATTAACTGGGGGGGAAGGATTTTTGTTTTCCAAAATACAAGAAACTGCCAGATACAATCCAATAAAGGTCAAGAGGTTTTAAGGTGTGATTCTTTCAGTGTATTGGCTTTGGCACAGTAGCTGTCATTTTCACACCTTTGAATGTAGTGTTCTGGGTTTAAAATGAAACTGAAAAATAATCTCTTGTTTTGAATACTCAACCTCACTTAAGAGTTTACAAACTCATTTTAATACCTTCTGATGGTGATGAAAATTTATGAGCAAAGTATTTGATCTAGGTATTTTGGAGGCATCCACCATGAAAATCATGAGGAAAGTGGCACTTTGAGGTCTTAGAAGCGCGCCTTGTCTGTTGCATGGTCTATAATAAATTAGTTCATTTTAAGCAAACTAAAGACTCTTTTTGAGGGGAATTGTTAGTGCTTACGTCCAAAAAAAAAAAAAAAAAGTCAAGCCAAACTAAAAATATCAAAGAACCCACATGGATACAATTACATTCATCACACATGTATTCAGATTTCATAACCAGCCTAAAGCACAGCAAAAACTTATCAGTATAATTCAAAATTAAACAGAAATATAGGAAAGGGGTTTGAATTACAACAGCTGCAGCATTGTTTTAGTTCAACATTCACTTCACATCACAGTGTCACATTTTTGGAGTAGATTCAGTTGTATGACCTGATTGTTACATATTTAAACGTACTTTATCAGCCCATAGGAAGTGTCCAGTTTTATAAAGCAAAACTAACCCCATTTTGTATTAGAGATAAACGTAGCATTATTGTACACTTAAACTGATTCCTTACATCTGGACACCAGATCAATATAAAATGTCAGTCCAAACCCAAATGTCTGTGTATAGCAGCCACTTCATCCTTGACTCTCCAACAAGGAGGCATGAATATGGTGGTTTGCTGCCATTATTTGTTGGTGTTACTTTTACTTTTCTTTCCTTAAACACAATAATTCTTTTTAGATAGTGGAGAGTATTTAAGAAGGTTGTTATTGTCCTTAGTCATGTCATTTTAATGAAGTGTTTTGTTAAATATGGCAGAAAATGTCTGGATTTTTTTGTTACTGGTTTGTTTGGTTTTTTTCTAGTGAGGTAACTGAGTTCTGTCACTAATATGTAAGATGGGCTACATATGCCCTTTGTTTTTTTTGGTGAGGCCACATGATATTCATCTCATAATACAGACAATTGAAAGTAGCTCCGAAAAAAGAAACGCTTTGTATTTACTGAGATACCCTCCTGGAGATCTCTGCAATGATGATAGTCATACACGTCTACCGAGCTCTGATCGATTATTGCAATTTACTACTTGTTTTCTGTACCACGCATCCAGTTCAAGCATGGTAGCTTATTTTTGCTTACTGGGTGGAGTAAGCACAGTAACATCATACTTATTCTTTTGGTTGCCAATTTACCAACTAGTAAGCTATTGAATTGATGCTTTTCTGGTTTGGGGTTTTTTTTTTCACCTATCCTTTCTCTCTCTCCACCACCACCCCCCTCCACCACTTTTAATCACTAATGCTGTAAAGACCAACTTTTTTGCTAAGGCAAGGCTCTTTTTATGGCTGGACAATGAAATACTAAATTGAATTACTGAAATTGTTAATTACACGCAGTACAGTATTTTTCCACAGATCTTGCTTTTTCTTCAAAAGAATTTCATTTGGAAAATATGTATAGAAATTATATTCTTTTGCTGTGTGCTAATGGAAATTATTAAACTTCTTGGTTTATCCCACTTTTTTTTTTTTTCACTTTGAAGATAGAAGAAAAGCTAAAATAATTTTAGATGTATGTATTCATTGCATTTTGGCTTTAGTTACATTTAAATAAATTTAAATGTAACATAACTTTTTTTTTTCTCTCTATAAACAGGCTATCAGAATTTCCCAATCATCGTGGTTTCACCAGAACATATGTTCCAGGATCAACTAATGGGAGGTGCTCAGAGATGTGTAAAACAAAAGATCCCAAATTCAGACCTTCTGATTTAGGTGACAGTGTGAAGATGGAGCACAGAATGAAAAATGACTGTCCAAAAGATACACACCACAGTTACTCATCTCATAATATGGAAAATGGGAAGTCTAGCTCTGAAAAAAGAAACACTCCAAATTTACTGAGATACCCTCCTGAAGAACTCTGCAATGACGATACTCATACATGTCTCCCAAGCTATGACCATAGTTCCAACAAGGATAACAGAAAGGAAAAAAAAGAAATTAAAAGTAATGAACAGTACAGTAGGGGAAATGTCAACAAGTACAGAAGAGAAGTGCATCAGAGCACCAGAAACAATGGTGACAGTGAAGAGGGGAATTCAGATCCTCAGCAAAAGCTGAAAACCCTTTCAGAAAGGGCTAGTAAAAACGAGTTGCAACAAAAAAGTCAGAACGTAAAACTCAAATGCAGTCCAAGTGTAGAAAGAAGAGTAGAAAGGGGTGTTTCTTCCTGGGAGAAGCAAACTACTGATAAAGACAGATTTCCAACAAGAGGTGAATTGTATGCTGATGAGAGATCACAAAATGTATTACGAAAGGATATTAAAACACATGATAAAGATGAAAAAAATGCTGGCCAAAAAAATAAATCAAATGAAAAGCCACAAGAGCAGCCAAGGAGATCTGGTAGAGGAAGTAGTCCACACTCAAAGAACGAACATTCAAAGAATTTTCATGAATCACGTAAATGTCGCATAGAGGAGTCTAGAAAAGGAAAAGATATTGACTGCAAGAGAGACAGGGGAACAAATGATTATATTTCTCGAGAAGGAAGGACTTCACCTTCTAATTCCAACAACAGAGAGCATAAATACGCACGCTTGAAGGAAAATAGTAGTAGATATGAATGGGAAACAGCACATTCCAAATCAGAAAAACACAGAACCGAAGAAAAAAGGAAAAGAGAAAGAGAGGATGAAAATAGACATTTTAGAAATGAAAGAAAAGTTACGAAAGAGGTAACTCACCAGTCTGTAAAAGAATCCAAGAAAGGTACGGATGTTACAAAAAGTGAGAGAAACAAGTTCTATAAGCCAGAAGAAATGTCCAGAGTAGCAGATAGTTTAAAAGACCATAAAGTTCCCAAAACTAGAGATGATCACACTGGGTCAAAAAGTAAAGACTTAAAACTTAGCTTTATGGAAAAACTAAATTTAACTCTTTCTCCTGCTAAGAAACAATGTGTGTCTCCAACAGATGGAATTAAAACACCTTCCCAAAAGGCCACTCATGAGGGAAGTACAGAACTCGCGCTGCAGGCAGAACTGTTAGATTCTGCACACCCCGTTAACTGTGGTCCCACAGAGCAAACTAATTCAACACTACAAGTTCTGGATAGTGCAGCTCAAAGCAGTGTGGAACCAGCAATGCCTGTTCCTGTCAGTTCTGAAGATGAAGCCTTAAAAGTAGCAGCAGCAGATCCAGCACAGTCTGAAGAATTGCCAGCAGTGGCAAGTAGTGAACTGAGCTCAGAAACCTTACTAGAAGCAGAAGTGGTTCCAGTAGAGCCCCAAGCCTTACCAAAAGCAGCAGAGGTACTGGTTACTGATGAGATGCAGGCTGAAACATTGACAGAAGCAGCACAGGCTTGTGATCTGGTTGAATCAGAAGCCTTGGCAACAGCAGTGGCAGTGATGAAGCTGAATCACCCCGAATCTTTGCCCCAGGAGGTGGCTGGGAGCATGGCAGAGCCTCAAGAGTGGTCTGTGACAGTGGGTGTGATGCAGAATGACAATGCACCACCACCACCAGCAGAAGTGGCACAACCTGAAGTTGCCATTGAAAGTACGGGAGCCCTTTCAGAGTCAGCAGCAGAGAAGAAAGAAGACAAAATATGTCTGGTTGCTGACATAGAAAGCTCAGCAGACCAATGTGGCTCTCAAAACCTTGTCTTGGATGACTCTGAAGCCAAAAATTCTGGTGACCTGGAGTCCTGTGATGTTGGAGATGATATTGGTGGAACAAAACCAGACTCTTTAATGGAAGCAGTGAAGGACAATGACCACTTGGCTGCAGAAAATGCTGAGTGTCCCACTGATGAGAAGGGTATTTGTGAAATTGATAAGAGTACATCTCAGTCACTCGACAGAACTATGTTAAGTGATAAGGATGAACCATTAGTTGACCAGAATGCTTGCGATCTGGAGCCAGACCTCACTGAAATCAGTACGCCAGCATCTTCTGTTAGTGGTGAGATGTATCCTAGAACTAAGGACAGAGAAACTAACCCAGTTCCTGTTGATGATGACAGCTCAATACTGAGCATTGATCTCAATCACTTGAGGTGTATTCCGAAGGCAATCAGCCCACTGAACAGTCCGATGCGCCCTTTGGCTAAAGCACTTAAGATGGAAAGTCCCTGCAAAGGTCTTGTGAAGAGTTATAACAAAGGTATTATATATGTATGTTCCAATTTCTTTTCTATATAAAGGCTTAGAAGATCTGCTCATGGAAAGCAAAATGACTTTTAACTGCTTTCTCAAAAATACAAATTGTTTTTTAAGCTATGTAAGTCTCAATGGTCCTTTTTATTTGTAGTGGAACCATTTAACAGTGCAGTCAAGACTGTAGCCAACTGACCATTAGTGCTTTAAAAATTGGTGTTTATCACTACTGACAGATGAGAGCTTGGAATTAGAGTATATGTACTAAGTTCTAAAAAAATACCTATAGTTTTCTTAATTGCAGTTAGTTCTGAGTAGATCTCATTAGATTTTTCTCTGAAATTGTAGAGGCAAAAGTTACTTAGGATATATTCTTTCAAGTATGTATTTCTGAGAAAACTGGAGAGGGTACATGAGAATTTCTAGGAATGTCAGCTAAGAGAAGGCTCTGCTCTCTATCTACATTTCAGAGTGAATTTTTGTAGATATTTTACAAGTGTGAGTCAATGGCAAAAAAAGAACAAATAGAACATTAGGATTTATCATTAATGAAGTAAGAGCCTACTCCTAAATAAGATGTCAGGGAGATAAAATATCGTAACAGCACTCACAGGAAGAGAAAACAGATGACTCAAAGTTTAAGTCTTTCACTTGTGTGAATTTAACTTCCTGTAATGTCCTGTTGCAACGAATAAAAAGATTTCTTGGAACTTAGATTTTCTACTAGAAGAGGAACGGTAGAGTGGCCTTTAAATCCTTTTTATGTTTTGGAGTATAATCCTGTTGTCTTTTTTCAAATCTTAGTGTGGTTTACTCTGGAATTCTCTCTTGTGCTTGACTCTCTCAAGAGTGAATTCCTTTAGCAGTTTATATTTCATTCCTGCAGTATTTTATATTCTTTGGAATGTTTGAAGGAACATGAGAGCTTCAGGATCTGAGTAGGAGAGCATCAAATTAAAGTCTTTTTTCAATTTTTTACTGTATCCCCGAGTTACTTGTTAGAGTTCCTGTCCAGAACTTGGTGCTGAATTCCAAAGCAGTGATTTTTCAGCTCTGATATTTCAGCTCTGAAGTTAGATGCCTAGTTGTCTTTGTGATCTGACTAATGATATGCATGTCAAATGTTTTGCATCTGTTAAATTGACAGGAGGAATCGCAGGAGGCTATGGTTTCTCTTTGCCTTGAAATTCAGTACTTGCCTTTTTACTGTTCTGCAGGACAGGGGTACATATGTTAATACTATTTTTTGACCATTTTCATTGTATGCTTTAGTTTGTCGAAATATTTAAGTAGTTTGAGAAAGTACTGATCTTTGTAAAACTGAAGTGGAGGTGGTGATGAGTACGTTTTTTGCTCCTGTAGAATCTGTATAAACATTTTCAAATGTTGCTTTAAAGTGTTAATCACAAGTTCATTGTTTATGGAGATCAATTTAGATATGATCTTTTATGAGATAAAATGTTTGTTAGAGGTCATTAAGCAGTCTAATCTCTGTGATTGAACATAAGAGTGTTTTATTAACTAGAGTGCAGAGCAAGCCTAAAATTAACTGCAAATCTTGTTAATCAATAGACATGCACTTCAGTGGCATTTTTGTACAATGGAAATGAGCTTGGCTTTTCATCTTTTGTAACATGCTGCTTCATAGCCAACTGTAATTGCTTATTATTCCTAACAAAATAGCATTTGCTTTGAATTTTAAATAATGATTACATATTTAATGATACCTCAAAACTATAAAACATTTAATAAACTTATTTATGAGGCAAAGTAAGGCATGCTACATTTGGCAGAACTTTGGCCTTTTCTCTCACTTATTCTCATTCCTGTCATTCAGGAACTTGAACTTTTGGTTTTCTACAAAATTTGTAAGAAAAAAGGTTTTTATGCCGTTGTGTTCAGTTACAGTGCTGGTAATCTTAAATGCATCAAACCCTGAAGTTTGTCATGTGTGTAGTGCCGAGTACTCTTTTGTTTAGTAAGTCAGTTTATTGAAAGACTCAAAGAACCTTTTTATCAACCCTAGAAGAGATAGTTGAATGCAGCACTAGCAGGTCATTTGTTCTTCTCATCTTGGTTTTGTTCTGAAACTGTTAAAAGAAAAGCCACCTGTTGTATTTAAATGGTAGTCCATAAGTTAAAATTCAGCTTCTGCAGTGTTCGGAAGACTTGTTAAAGTAAATGTAAGGAAGTTCAAAACTGCTGGTAACTGCTAGATTTTTCTGTCTTCAATAGCTATATGTGTGAGATAGGTCACATGTTTTTTGGTGAAATGTTGAGGTCTTATTTGCCCTTTGAAGCTGAGAAAAAATCTTTAAACCAGCAGCTGCTGAAGCAAACCACACAGACTTGTTATAGCTCAAACTTCCCGAGTCATTGTTGGCAGTTTCAGATAGTTCTGAATGGTCACTTTACAAAGAGACCAGGATTTTCTGAACATATCTGTTTATAATTGCATTCCTTGTGGTGATTAGGAAACTGTTTTCTTTTTTATAGATTTAATTCCTGAAAGTGGAGTTGTTGTCTGTCCCTCAAAAAATTTGTCAAAGGAGGTAAACAAAGAAAATCAAAAGCCAGTTAGCATGTCTGATGAACACTGTGAGATGGAGTCCCAGCTGAGTATCTCTTCAGATGAAATAGAAGAAGGAGAAATCATAAGTAGTGATGAAGAGGAAAAAAAAGGTAAACCAGAAAGTGTCTCTGAAAATACAAAAAAGTCAAGACCAAAAGCTTCTCCTGAGACGCGGAATTTGACCAGCAGTCCACAAAATCAAAAGAGCAAAGTTGTGCGTTGTAATGAAGATAATGGAAAATTTGTGTCTGTGAAAGTAAGTGCGAAGAAGAACAGAGAGAGGCATAAAAATCAGACATTCAGATCTTCGAAGGATATGAAGAAAAATAAAACTGTGAGCATTGCTTGTCTTGAAAAAATAGTACATGTTATTGTTGAACCTTCAAGTATACAAGAAATCATGCAGATGCTAAGAGCTATACGAAAACAGATGAGGAAAAATTATATGAAGTTCAAGGTACAGTTCCCAGTTCAGCATTTTCACAGAATTATAGAATCCGGTATCATAAATTTTACATCATTAATAAAACACTTGAACTTTTCCAAGATGTCTACATTAGGTGAGACATTAAAATTGAGTATCTGTGATGTTGTAGAGTGCAAACTGAAGCAAGTTAAAAAGAATGCAATAGTGGACCGTCTTTTTGAACAGCAAGTATCAGATATGAAAAAACAGTTATGGAAATTTGTAGATGAACAGCTTGATTACTTATTTGAAAAGATAAGGAGGATTATAATAAAACTATGTGATGTGGGACATGTGGCAAATGAGAGTGAGGAAAGGAAGTTTGAAAGAGTGGGAAAGCAAAAACACAAGATCAGTCATAAAAATAATATGCAAAGGTCTAGAAAGAAGTCCCTGAAAGTCCAATCTCAAAAGCCTGAAGAATATATGCTTTCAAAGCAACATGTGGATTATCAACGAACTAAGTGTCACCATGAGAAAAATAAAACAGATGCGCCAAAGCCTGCCTTTACAAAATGTCTCAACTCCATTGATAACACTAGGAATTCCCAAACCAAAGTGCACCTCTCTAAAGAGAATAGTTTGCAAGGCACTCTCACTCCATTGAAGGGTGTGAAATCCGAAAAGGAAGGATTGCAGCTATCCAGAGATGCTAACAAATCTGATCTTAGTTACGAGCTTCTCACAGAACAACAAGCATCCAGCCTTACATTTAATCTTGTAAGTGATGCTCAAATGGGTGAAATTTTCAAAAGTTTATTGCAAGGTTCTGATCTCTTGGAAAAAAATGGAGGCAATATTGACAGAAATGAGTGGGAATTCAGGACTCCAGAAAAACAGTTTTTAGATGGTCATAAATGTAGAAGTAATGTTGCTGAACTGGTGCAAGAGATTGCTCCAAAGGAGGCTTGTGTGGAATCTCAACCAGTAGAGGGTATTAAGTGGCCTGTTGTTTCACCTGTAAGAGCTCCCTCTTTAGCATCTAGGCTTCAGATGTCTGTTGATCCTGATGTACTAGATGAAAGCTGTATGTTTGAGGTTCCTACAAATGCAGCTTCATGCAAAGAAGATGACTGTAATTTACAGAAGAATAAGTCATTTGTTTCTTCAATCCTCCTTGAAGATTTGGCTGTTTCCTTAACTATTCCATCACCTTTGAAATCAGATTCTCACCTCAGCTTCCTAAAACCTGAGAATAATTCTAGCTCAACTCCCGAGGGTGTTCTCAGCGCACATTACAGCGAAGATGCACTGCTGGAAGAGGAGGATGCCACTGAACAAGACATTCACTTGGCTTTAGAATCCGATAACTCGAGCAGTAAATCAAGTTGTTCATCATCGTGGACGAGTCGGCCTGTTGCTCCTGGTTTTCAGTGTCGCCCCAGCCTACCAATGCAAGCAGTAATCATGGAGAAATCCAATGATCATTTTATTGTAAAGATCAGGCGTGCAGTGCCATCTACCTCACCAGCATCTGATCGGGTGGCTTCAGTGAAGGAGGTGCGGGCATCTTCAACCAAGATTGAAAAACAAGAAATGAGAAGTGGGGGAAGAGAAAGGGGCAGTCAGAGTGCCACAGTAGCTGTTGTGCAAGAAAGTGTCAAACCAGATCTGGTTAAGATGGATCAGTTGCCTCATGTCAGCGCTGGACAAGAACAAAATCCTGCCTTACCTCAGCTTCTAAAGGAATCTCATAGTAGTGGAAAGGAAGAAACCACTGGGTTGCTTGAACCCTCTAGAATATCTTCAAACACAGAGAGCCAGGACACTAAAAGCACAGATGAAGGCTCTGAACAATCTCAGGCACACAAATTGAAAGTATCTGAAAATGTAAATGAAATGGGTGTTAGACCTCAAGGTTCTCATCCTATTTCCTGCAGCATAGAGTCATACATAGACTTAACAGATGATATGGTTAGTGAAACTTCATGTTGTGTGGTGGAATCCACTACAGATAACAGGACTCAGGAAACCTCTACTGGAAACTTGGAAATCAGTGTTAAAAAGCAGGAACTGGAAGAGTGCTCTGGTGCATTTATAGATTTAACAGAAGACCTTTCCAATGAGACTGTAGCAGGTGAATGTAATCTTGAAACACAAGCTACTTCAAATACTGAGGTAGGATGCCAGATAAGTAGAGATGATAAAACTGGTAAAAAAAGGAAAAAGGACACTGTCAGAGAGAATTCCAACTCAAAAAGGCAACGAAAAGAAACTGAATCAGCAGGTGAAGGGAGTGATGCAAGTGATGTGAAGCCTGAAGAGGTAAATTCAGCATCCAAACAGTGTTCCAATAAGAAGAATGAATTGCAGCAGAACAAAGACTCTTCTCCTTTGGCTTCATCTGCATCATCACCTAGTCTGTATGCCAAAAACATCATTAAAAAGAAGGGAGAAGTAGTAGTTTCCTGGACAAGGTAATTTATGATTTGATCTGTTTGATTGTTTTAAGGTTTTTTTTTAAACTATGTGATAAACTGAAAAGTGGGAAGAAAAGGCTGTTTAGCTGATGGTTGAACTTCTGTGGACAGTGGGGTGTGAGCTGCCTCTTGTCTGTGCAGGGTGGCATTGTGAGACTGATGTCTTTTCTTAGAGTACCACTAAAAGGTGCCAAAGTCTATTTTATCCTTTTTCTGTAACAGTTGTCCAGGGGAAAACAAATTTAAGAGATGAAAGATTAACTGATTGCATGTAATCCTGTTAGCAGCATTTGGACAAGAACAACTTTTAGTCATTTCTTAGGTAGGTTAAATCAGATTTGCCTTAAAGAAGGTGGCTTCCATATGTCATAACTAATTGCATCACTTACCCAAATCTCCCAAAACAGGATTACTTTTTGCTTTTGTTTTTAAAGCTTTAAATGCTAAGGTAACAAGACCTACTGTATTGCACTGCCTGTAGGTTTTCTTTCTTCTGCCCATTTCCATTCTTGTGCAAAAAGTCCAGCCAGGCTTGGTAGGGGATGGAGGTCTTTGATGTTCCTACAAGGCCTGGAAGCATTAGTGACTGGGTAAAGGAGAGCAGCTTAAGATTTCTCATGCTGAGAGGAGGCATAAGAGCAAACAGTTTTCTCTTTTGGGGCCTATGCTGCTCAATCTGCAGAAATGTACTAGGCCACCATTCAGCCCACATACTCCAGTTAGCACAGTGTGGGTGACAAATGAGGTGACTATATGTGTTGAAGATACCTGCAAACTTATTGTGGTTTATTCTTATCCTCAAGAAACTATAGTTAGTAGGTTTTGCTGCTCTTGCTAAAACTTCATACAATCAACAGTTTAGAAAAGGGGCTTCTAAAATTTTCAGCACAGACTTCCCTGAACTGCAGTTTGAACTCCTGTTCTGTAGTTTGGAAATACTTAGAATTTTATATATGCCTTATGGTTTGTTTTTTGTTTGTGTGCATGTACACGTATATATGTATTAATATTTTAAAAATGCATTTTTGCTATAGAAATGATGACAGAGAAATTTTACTGGAATGCCAGAGAAAAGGACCATCAAGCAAAACCTTTGTTTCCCTAGCCACTAGGCTGAACAAAAGCCCTAATCAGGTAGGTGCTATCATTCTTATAATTGATAGACTATGTTGCTACATTCACGGTTGCAGTTGAACAAAAAACTTTAGAGATCTACTAATTTTGAGTTGTTTTTTCCTCGTGTCTTTTGTTGGGGGGTTCTTGAAAAAAGAATCTTAGATTCTGCTGGTTGTAACTTATTAAAAATATACATATAGGGGTATTATGGTCCAGGGATTCTTTAGTACCTGTTTGATTGGTACCTGGAAACTGCTGTCTCCAGTCATAAGCTAGGGACCACAGGATTGTTTGTATTGTTGAATCAGCACTTAAAGGCATTTTGGAGATGCCCGAAAGCCTTTGCACATACCCACTAAATTAGAAAAGGTTTAAAACTAGAACTGGAAAAAAAATACCAGGATTTTGCAGAAAGGGTGTATTTCATGAATATTTTTTCTTTTACTTTGTAATTAAGAAACTTCAGAAGGCACAGGTGTCAAGTTGATGTAGAATATTTCCAGAGGTTTGAATATAACTTTGTACTTGTCTTGAATTGCTATTTCAATCTCAATCCTACAAATCTAAGAAAGGAGAAACACCCATTTGGCTAAGTTAGGAAATCCTGTGTGCTCACGATTCGGCTTTTAGGATGTTTTGTTCTATGGTTACAGAGTCTTTGCGGGGTTTAGAAGCTGTTGGGGTGGGTGGTTGGATAAAGCAGCGTTATCTGTGCATTTATGTCACTCTTCCCAGTTAGCTATTTGGCAGATGCTATAGCAATATGTATATAGCAATAAGAAATACTAGCTTACAATTGATTGAGGTCTCTGTGTAAGCTGTAGCTATGTTCAACAAAAAGATGTTTGACTCTCATCTACAGACCACTTCTGTAAAATTCCAAGTAGGCAGACACCTCATGATGTGTCATAAATAGCAACAGTTGTACCAGAGAGTAGAAATAAGCAATAAGCTGTGCTTGTTGTGGAGTACAAAATAAGCTTTTGTCCTCACATTTTAATCTTGCTCACAATTATACCTGGCAAAATTCAAGTCTAAATGACTTTGAAGCCCTCATTTTTTTCCCTCCTATGTTGTAAACCAGTTCCTCCTGTGTTAAAACAGTAGTTTGCTCTAGCTCTCTGGAGGCTATTTCAGATACCAAAGGTATAGGAAGACTTCCTGCATTTAATTAACCTGTTGATAGTGCTCCTAAAATTCTACTGGTAAAATGTATTGGAAGCAAATAAAAAAATAGTGGTGGTCTTAAAAACTTCATGCTGTCAGATCAGTTTGTCTTGGCAGTTATGGAAATCTGGGGCCATAATGATAGGTCTCTTTTTTTGTCCTCCATTAGGTTTCAGAAAGATTCAAGCAGTTAATGAAGCTGTTCAAGAAATCCAAGTGCAAGTAAATTTAACACGAAGTTACTTCATGGGCACAGGGTTTAGCTGTTACCAGCAACGATGGACTACAACCACTACATTCATATAATGGGATGAGTGGGAGGTATCCAGGTCAGAATACCAAGCTTGGTAAATCTGATGCACTGTTGATTATTTACTTCTATGTCCATGTTTCCTCTGAAGTGCTTTATCAGAATAACACAGAAGGACCTTTACAAAGAAACTGACTAGAAAAGAATGGACACGTACAAATGGAGCAGCATCATTTCAAGGGTGTGACATCTCCTGTTGGTTAAGTATGTTCTACAAGTGACAACAAGGGCATGCTGTCAAATGAAGGTGGTGGCTTGTGCTTAACTAGTTGGAAGTACTGCATGTGGTGACTTTGAACTATGAATTTAAAAAGCAAGCGTGCTTTGGAATGTAGTTGGTATTCCTGGAAAATGACTGGTATGTCATCTTGGTTACACTGAAACATATTTTAAGAAGTTAAGCCTTTTTGTTTTAAAAGAAAGCAGGGCAGTGGTGATAATGATTCCAAAAGCTGCTTACATAGTAATTGTGTTGTGATGTTAAGGAATAGGTGGCTCTTGCTGCTTTCTCAGCAGCTTGTAGTGGATTACAAGGAGAGAATCTGGCATTGAGCATAGGGTTTGTCTTTGACTTTAAGCACGTTATCATTTACAACAACCTATAGTTAAAAATATTTTGCAATTCTGATATTTTAAAATAATTTTGAATAGTTGGGGTTTTTTCCCATGAAAAGGTATTTTTCTTTGGAAAAGGCAAATATGTTTTTCGATTCCAAATTACATCTAGGAATGGTACTTAATTTAGATCTTCAACATAAAAAGCATTCTATTTGGTTTAAAAAAATAAAAATTGACAAGTGATTTTTTTTTTTTTTAATCGATTTAGAGACAGACCTTTACAGTTTTATAAAATGTGACTTTATACTTTCTAACCAGGAGAAAAACTTTTTTGTAAAAACAAGCAGTTTCAAAATCTTCTCAACTTGGCATGTTTTGACAGCAATTGTATCTATCTTTACAAATTGTTAGTACATTAGAAATTCATTATGTTCTATTTTAAAGAACTTATAATTGCTTCCAGTTTTATTAGCACATAGTAAAAGTGTGTATGTATACATATGTATGCACACACTTCTCATTTGCTGTTTTATCCCAAATTTCTAAAAAAGCTTGCTTTTTTTATTCTTTAATTCCCTCTAAGAAACATTCCTGGACATTGCACAGGTTTTTCTATTCCGAATCTGTTGATGTTTGAGGTTTTATTCTTTATTGTGGATCAAAATTGCTGTCATCTTTAGTCAGTCAGAACATCTGCTGAGTTACTTAGATTTCATTTAAGAGCCCTACCAAAGTGTATTGCCTTTCAACTTGGATTAAATTAGCTTTTGTCGGAATCCATGACCACAGCTTCAGTTTCAACATAATGGTTTTTTGCTCCCTCCCCAACTAATGGGACAGGGTTCTCATTCTAATAAACCATCAGATAATTGGTTGGTGATATTGCGACTGACACCTTTGGGGTATTGTAAATATGACCTATGGAATGGATTGTCATGCTGCCAAACAGTGCATCATCCTCATTTTAGGCAGTGCTCTGGAAACTGTTACAAGGAATGACTTGAGTAGGCGATGATGTCAGTTCTGGCAGTCTTCCATCTTATGTACTTGCTTCTACAGCATTTGCTTTTCATGATCAAGTATCATCTTCCATGCTACGCCAGCAGCACCTCATGATTTCAGTGAGTGATTGGTATCCCCTACCCGTGCTTGTTCTTAACATTGATGACAATTGTTTACTTATTGGAGCATTAAATCTAACTGAAGCTGTTCTCACAACTGCCAGTTGGCAGAATAGCTTTCATGTTTGTGGAAAACCGAACTCTACTAAGAGTATTCTTTTAACCATATCCTTAGAGATCAAAATATGCACAGTACTGAAGGCACTGGGGGAAGTAGCTTCTCTCCACTCAAGTGCTTTCTCTCTGTCTCAAAAAGGCAGGCAGTATTTTATTACAAAGTTGTTTATTCCTTGTCTGTTTATTTACTTTCTTATCTGTACAGGTGATGAGGGGGGGCTGGGTTTCACTGGTTAGGTTCCAACTTGGATTTCTTTTTTTGTAAATTATGAACTTTTTTTTAATGTTCTGTCTATTGTAATTATGTGTACAGGTTCCTAAATGTAAAATACCTGATGGATGTATATATATAAATATATGTATAAAAATAGAGAGAGTTTTGTTTAGCCAAAGATGATTTTTTTAACTATATAAAACTCCAGGTTTATTTTGTATAAACTACATAGTTTGCTTACTGTAAGAGTGATGCAAATAATAAAACTGTAAAATTCAGAGGCATATGCTCTTGTTGAACAAAGGTTGGCTTGGACTGGTTTTGTACTGTTGTTTGTAATTTATTTCTCCAAGAAGAATTTTGATACATATATATGCAAAATGTACTGTATGTAAATCTACAGGATTACTTGTGAAACCTCAGGTAAATTAAAACATCTTCTAGAACTGTTGGCTACTGCCTTCACAACTACAGATGCTGTGAAGCAGCATTAAAATGGACTTCTGTTAGTCTGTATAAATGAGTAGCTATGTTGATGTTCCAGCCAATAAACATGGAAGTAAATCAGCTGCTGCTCTGATGCTATTACTGCTCCAAACATATACTGTGTATTTCTTAGTTGACAATGACTGGATCAGAAATTGGACAAATTCACAAATTACATGCAACCTTTAAACCACTTAAGAATTAGATCAGACAACTTTCCTCTTTTTTTTTTTCTAGGATCATTGGGTTAGTGTTGAGTGCAGTCTTACAAAGGAGAAAGACCTTTTGTAAAGAGCGTAGCTGGCAAGCCCTTTGAGAGGCTTACTCCAATTTGCTACTGAAGAATATGTCTGCCTCTATCCAACACACATTTCTATAGGATTCAGTTTAAAAACTCTTAGCGGACATGAGTATTAGAGAATTTCAGAGAGTGGGAATTTGAGGAGCAGGGCATATGGAGATGTGCATAATGATAGTGAAATTGCAGAGCATTGGGTATTGATTTTTGAGGGATTATCTCAAAGACATAGTCTTTTGCCAGCTGTCTACATAAAATAGTTGACTGGACTGAAGGCATTTCTCTTCAGTGTCAATGCAGCAACCTATGGCTATTTCCATTAAGTCTTTCCTGTAATTATCTTTACTCTAAAACCAGCTGCAGGGAGGCAGCAGTAATAAAGCATGCCAAGAACAGATTTCAGGACTTCTTAGAAGAATCTGTGAAATCAATAGAGGCATTGCAAGAACAAAATTGGCTTTGATGGCAAGAGTTTGGCAGAGTTTGAAAGTATGGTGCTGTGCCACCAAAAGCAAACCCATCTCAGTCTTTAGGGAGAAGAGCCTGAAGTGTAGGTCGGTCACAACCTTATATGATGGAAGAAAAGGACCAAAAGATCTGAACCACCAGAAGAAGAAAAAAAAAAAAAAAAACCAAAACAAAACAAAAGAAAAAGGATATTTGGGACTTCCATAAAATATAGGCCTGAACAGGACTAGGCAGTAGAAGCTCTTGGTATCAGAACCTCAGCTCTGGTGACCCTGATTTCTCACAAAATCCCATTTTGGTAGCTCACCTTCCTTTTTTAAACCTTGTCTCTCAGACATACTAATTCCGAATGGGCTTGGGGTGGCTCTTTAAAACAGCTGAAGAAGGGTTACCATGCTGAAAGCCTGTGTTTCTAACTGAAGGCTTGAGTCTTGGTTCCTGCAGCCTCCTTTTCAAAGACTCAGTCTGACACATCCTAAATTAACTCACCAGGCAACAGAGTATGAAATCGGACATGACCGATCGATCCCTGGGCATTGATTCAAAACGAAACTAATGGAATGTAAAGAAAATGTAAGAATCTATTGTACTGTAAAGGCTGCCTATTTAGCCATTTTACAAAGTAGAATGTTATTTGGAAGCTGGGTGGAGGTGTAATGTTTGAAGAACCGACTAAAACAACAATTCGTAGGGACGTTGCAAGCTACTGCTGTACAGATTGAGCCTTGAGGGAATGGCTTTGTTAGCTGCCACTGACTAAAATAATTGCATGATAATTTTGGCTAGAGGCACCATCCTATCATCTGATGATTTTCAAACCATGCACGGATAGTTTAGGCTGAGTGATCCAGCTACAAAGATCCGAGAAGTCCGCTCAGCCTACCACGTCTATGTTTTGGCTCTTGGGGGAGAAAAAAACCATGTTGTAGCACTGCCGAAGGAAGGTCTCTGAGCTACAGTAATCAGCAGCACTGCATGCTCCTTCTGCAATGCTCTAAGACAGACTAACCAAGGGCTTTCTCCTAAGGTAAGTGGCAGAAAAATAATTCTTCCCAAGACAGTATGAAGCAGACAGGTCCCCGTCAGACTTGAAACAATGCAAATTAAATCCAGGAGTATTTGCATCTTAGCATATATCTTTCTGTGACCAGAAATTTAAGATTTAACTCTGCTTTTTCAAATCACAGACCTGGCATAAATTTAGTATAGAAGTAATTTGAACAGTAGCAAATAATCAAATGAACTTTAAAATAAAGAAGCAAAAAAACAAGAAATAAAGAAACTTCTTCCAAGAGAAATAGTGGATTTCCACCTAGTTCTAACTGATTATTTGCATGCTTTTTTATTGTTTGAAATAACTATGTAAAAATACTTGGACAGACACAAAGCTAGTCAGTATAATGAGAAATGTCTTGGGTGTGTACTATCTATACTAGAACCAGTATATATCTAGTATACTAGAATTTGTAGTCTACTAGTAGACAGGAAATAATGATATCATTGGTATTTGAGATTACTCTTTTATGTTAAACTGCAATTACTGTTACACAGAATGCAAATAAGACCAGGGAAGGGTAAGATGGTCAAATTGGAAGCACATTGCTATGACAAGCTTGTGAACTAGTTTGGGCTAATTCTAGAAACTCTGGCTTTTGTGGCTCTAGAGTAACTTCTTGACTTCACACACAACATTCATCGTGTCAATATTTATACTGTGGTTCTACCAGTGCAGATTTGAGTGAAGGTGTCCGAGAGCATGAATGAAACCACTCCTACAATTACTCTCCCCTATTGGCTGTTGTAAAGGAAAGCTGGGGTTAGAATTGTTTCAATACTGGTAGTAACAACGTAAGAAACAAGCACCTGTAGAGCCGGAGTGATATGTTTATACTCTTCTTCTTGTCTTGTCTTATCCCATATAGTTATATGCACTTTCTGTAACAAAATGGGTAGTGATAATTCCTACTACTAGAGGAATGCTAGCATTTAATCTCTGGGATTAAAGCATGTCTTTTTTTCCCTTTCATTCCTGCATTTACATTTTTCCATCTCACTTGGGTTGTTGGGGTTGTTTTTTGTTGTTGGAGTTGTTTTTTGTTGTTGGAGTCTGTCAATTTCAGCGAGGGACCAGCCGTTTGCAAAGCCACTAATATGCCCAAAGCTCTTTTGGTTAACTGGTGTGTTGCCATCAGAAGTGGCATAAAGCAATCAGTGTGTCACCCACTTGTACTTGGTGTCTTGAGTGCTCTGGGTTTGGGATCTTGTTCTAAGTAAACTTCTACTTCTCACTTTACTGAAGGTGAACTATTCTGTATCAGCACTTCCAAGCTTGGAAAATCAGGTTCAGCATTGTTAGCATGAGATGTAATGTTTTCCAGCAAACATTTCAACATATGAACATCTTTGCACTCATTCAACCTATGACATTGTAACAATTTGGTATCTGCTTTGAATAAAATCCATAGGAAGTCAGAAGAAGGATCTCACATTGATCTTTAAAAATGAGGAAAACAGACTATGGTAGTTATTGCTGACTTCTTTTTTTCATGTAGCTTATCTCAGTGATAGACATGGGAGGAAACGAGTGGAGTGACCAAAGAAGATGCTCCAGGTGCATCAGAGCACCTAAGAAATTGCTTGACTAGCTAGGTTTCCTCAGCCAGTTCCCTGTGTCAAAAAGGAAGTTCATTGTGAAAATTCAAATCCCAGGTATGTAATAATAAAGTCTGTAGGATGCCTGTGCAGAGAATGACTGCACTGTTGGTTACAACTGAAAATCTTTACTCTCAGTGTGGTTAAACACATCCCCCAGGCAAAATTGTATGACATGGGATGATATCATAAACCTTAATCAAGCTATATTGATACATGACATGGTGATATCACCCAGCTGTACTGTTGATTAAAATGGTGCAAGATTTTGGGTGCTGCAACCAGCCACTCTCAAAAACAGCTTAGGAAGTGCATTTCACTAATGGTTTAGTGGAATCTGGGAAGTTTTGCAAGTACAGTAGCAGAAAAAAACAAGTGCAAACCCTAAGGTAGATATGATCCCAGTTGCTTCAATATTTTATTACCATTTAGCAGAAAATATTCTAGGGACACAATACTAGATGTGCAGTGTATTCATAAATAAACAGACAAATACCTTGCAATTCAATTCCTCACATTACCTGAAACTCCCGAATAGTTTCCAGAGAAGCAGCTTGGAAATCAAGCATCCAGTAGCAGCATCTGGCAGCAGAAGGTGGATCAATTTGCTGATGAATCAAGGAAATTCTGGTAAAGTGGTAGTTAAAAAGATCATCTTACACTCACAGCTAAAAATGTCCACATCACTCCATTGTGTAATCCCTGATTTATTTATCACATATGTTAAAATCTATAATTAACACAAAGTCTTGGTGATTCAGCAACACTTTAAATGCATAAAATTAAAGCTATTAATCCTAGAAGCACTCTTACTTTATTAATATTATCCTAGAACTGAGACTATACATGTACAGCTATGTGTAAATTATCTATATATTTGTAGTATTAGGAATCCAATCAAGAAACCTGTGGATTGTTATCCTGGTAGAGGGGAAAATATTGGATAGATGGCACTAAGAATGCTACCGCCTTGGGGTACAGCATGAAAGAGTTTTCTCTCACAGTTCTAGGATACTTCTCAAAACTTTTCTGAGCAATTTGTCAAAGCCATGAGCATTATACATAATGGCAAAACTATGGCAAAGCCATAGTGGAATGGCGTGGGTGTAGAATTAAATTGCAGCTGGTAAAGGGTTTGCAAAGTGAGAAAAATTGTCTTCTTTCCTAGTAGGAAGAAAATAGTGTAAAACTGTAGGTGGATACAAAGTACTGTGGTTTACAGCTGAAAGCAATCTCTTTTATGCTTAGAATAATCTCACGTTTGCATTTTTCACTGGTAATCATGAAGTCTGCATTCAGTTAAAGACCTGGTAAGTAAAAAATAATGAGGAACTTCAAAGAAGTTCATCACCCTGCTATGAGAAGAATGCATATGAAAGGTGGTTATTTAAGCAAAAGAAACCAAACCAAACCAAAAAACAAACCAAACAAACAAATAAAAAAAAAAAACCCAAAACCAACCACCCACCAAAAAACAAACAAAAAACAACCCCAAAACCCAAAACCAACCACTAAAAAAAGACAGAGCCTTGGGCAACATAGTTTAGTGTGTGGTGTCCCTGCTCATGGCAGGGGGGTTGGAACCAGATGATCTTAAGGTCCTTTCCAACCCTAACTATTCTATGATTCTATGATTCTATTTCCAAAGGAAATCCAGTATTATATTAAAGTAATTTTTTTTTTTTTTTTTTTTCATTCAGAGATGAACTTGTGACCATGGGAGACTGGAACCTGTTGGGCAGCATCCTTGAAGAAGTGCACATCCACTCCACCATAGTTGGCAAAATCTGGCTCACAATCCTGTTCATATTCCGGATGCTGGTGCTGGGAGTGGCTGCTGAAGATGTCTGGGATGATGAGCAGTCTGAGTTCATCTGCAACACAGAGCAACCTGGCTGCAGCAATATCTGTTATGACAAGGCCTTCCCCATCTCTTTGATCAGATACTGGGTACTGCAGATCATATTTGTCTCTTCTCCATCGCTAGTTTACATGGGCCACGCGCTCTACAGGTTAAGGGCTCTTGAGAAAGAGCGACAGAAGAAGAAAGCCCACCTGCGGGCTCAGCTAGAAGACCTGGAGCCCATGCATGAGGAACACAGGAGAGTGGAGCGAGAACTGCGTAAGCTGGAGGAACAGAAGAAAGTGAATAAGGCACCCCTGAGAGGGTCCCTGCTGCGCACCTATGTCCTACATATCCTGACCCGGTCCATGGTTGAAGTGGGCTTTATGATAGGTCAATATCTTTTATATGGGTTTCACATGCCCCCCCTTTACAAATGCACTCGCCCTCCTTGCCCTAACACAGTGGATTGTTTTGTATCCCGACCCACAGAGAAGACCATCTTTATGGTCTTCATGAACAGCATTGCTGCTGTCTCCCTGTTCCTCAACCTCCTAGAAATCGCCC